AACCCATTCAGAATTCAGGACTGCAGGGGGAAAAGTAACTCACTTAAGAGGAGTTGTCTGAGTTACTTCTCTGGGCTAAGGGGTTTGTTTGCCTAACACGCTACTCTCCATGACCCTATTAAGCAGGTCATGTAAACCAGACCAATGAATAATGGGAGTGATTCTCAGGCTTCCATGTGGTTCAGCAATTTTTAAAATTTTTCTTTCAGAACCAATACTGATTTACAAGCACGCTCCAGCCCAAGCCTTTATTAAGGCTTTTGCAGTCTGATATGGGATTAAAATCAACTTGGCTTTTTTCATTAGAACACCTTAACATTAGATATCAACATTAGAAATGAATTTAATTAACCAGTTATCAGTATTAATAATGGTTCTAGTAGTAATAATGTTGCTTTTAATCTACCAATAACTGACATTCTCTGAAGAGATTATAAAATCACCAAATCAGAAAAATAATCAAACATACATATAGGAAGTATGCATCATATATTCACAGGAAATACTGTTGGAAAAATATTAATGAATTAATGCACCAAAAGGCCATCTGTGTGGGTTCCAGGGATGTATTCCCTTTTCTATATGCGGAATCACAATTAAGAAGACCTTTTCCTTTGTAGGCACCTGACACATCTCATTAGCTGAAGCAACCAGAGAAGGCCTCCATATCAAAGATCCAGGCAGATAATTTTGAAAGATGATGTTCCTTAAAATGATGATGTTCCTCTGAGACAAAGCTATGTACAGTTTTAAAAATCAAAATTAACACCTTAATTTTGTTTATTTATATTCCACCTTTATAATGCTCTTTCAATGCTCCTTTAGGCTCAGAAACTAGCTAACAAATTGACCAAATTGGCATGTGATCAACTTTAAGCAAACTTTATAGCTTTATTTATTTTACTTTATTCAATTTATATGGCCACCCATCTCAAATAAATGACCAAATGCAACCCACAGAGCAGCGATGTTACATGTGTCAAAGATTTACTACTTATGCAGTTGCATTCTACATCAGATGAATCTTCCAAATGTTCTTCATGGGCAACCCCATAGAAAGTGCATTGTAGTAATCCAGATGAGAGGACATGAATGCATAAGTGGCTATGGAGGTGGCCATGGAGGTTCCCCAAATTGTGCACTGGATCTATTTTGGGCAGTGCCATTCCATCCAGGACTACAGGGGGGAAATCTTGCCACTTGAAAGCCCAAATACCCAAAGCTATTCAGTCTTGCTAGGGTTGAGACGAAGCCCATTGCATCCCACCCAGGCTCCTATAGCCTCCAGGCATCACTCCCTTCCCACCCCCACCCAAAAAAATGGACTAATCGAACTTTCCAATCTTCAAGGTTTCCTGGACTCTTGAAAAAATATTGCTTATTATAAGGCTTTTAGAAAGCTTTAATATGCAAAAAGGTAAGAACATTTGGTAATGAACAGAACATATTTTGTGGGAAAAAAAGAATTTTGAATCTCAGTAAGGATTAAGTAATCAATATGATCATGGAAATAACATTTAGGGATAGTTTCTCATTAAAGTCTCAAGCAAGCATAAATGAAATTAGAAAGGGAAAGAAAAACTCATTATATTAAAGTCATTTATATTATAAGTTCAGTTTGGTCTTGGATGTGCCAACCATAGTACACAAGTGTTGCCAATTACTTAATTACCACCCATAGCAACTGCTGATGGCTTAAGATTTTCCAATTTATGAGTGGAAAACAAAAACTAATGTAACATTATTTGTAAAATTTCAAATTTCTTTTTATTGTCAAAGTAAATATATTTTATGAAGAACAAAGAAAAATATACATAATTGTAACTTATGTACACTGGCTTTAAAGATATTATTTTGACTCTAATTTACATCATCTTTGTGTTTTTAAAAGATATTTTATATAGATATGCAATATGTACAATTTATTTACATACATTCATAGGATGTGAAATAAAAACCAGTCAATAGGAGAGATTCACATACAGTATACAAATTTCCAGAGGACAAAAGGAATGCATTCCTAGCATAAAGAACTGGAACTATTGCTCTTAAATGACAACATGGTCTCTGTTTTGACCTACTCCACCCAGAAGTGCAGTGTTTTAATTCCCATTTGGTTAACAAAGAAAATAGGGACGATACTAAAATTCATTGCTACTGAGGCCCTCTGAAAGCAGCAGAACTGAACTGCTCACAGCTAATCTTGTCCCATTGCCTTCAGTGAGATTCAACCATGGCTAAGGTTGCTCAGATTTGCTATCAACATGACAGCTATGACTGTACAACACATTTAGTTTTGTGATTGAATTGACCCATTGGGGGCTTTGAATTTTCATCTAAGCTAAAATAGAACAAAAAGCTGCATTAAAAGTAATCCAAATTAAAATGTTGCACAAATACCACCACAAGATCCTTAACTGATTTGTTATGCATGTTGTATGATCATAGCCTATTCTTTAAAAATATCCAACAACCCTATTTACTACATTCTTGTTCTCTAGAAACATCCTAAAATCAGTAGAGTACAAAAAGAAAAAAAAATGGTGGAAGGAAATGTTGCCTAATACGATATTTTTTTTCTGCTTCATCAGATTATCTATCTGCGGTGCATATTCCCTTTAAAAAAAATAAAGGCCCTTAAGACAGCTACCATGCTAGTTGGCTGGAACATCCAATGCTCCAGTTGCATTGCTCTCTGAGTAGTGGCCCGTATGGGCACCCAGCATTTTAGTACCACTTACTGCTGAAATCTCTCAAAGTGCTTTCATAAAACATTCACTAAGTCTGAAGTCCTTCCTCCTCAGCCACTAGGAATATGGATTGTGTTCAGTACTGTAAACAAGGGCAAATTGGCTCAGCAGGTTTTTCACCCTTAGTCTGGGAAGATGCTATAAGCTAAGGCAAAAGGATTGGCACAGTTAGAAACTAAGGGTAACATTCCAGAAGTCACATAGATAGTTTTGCAGGAATGGTACTTAATTAAGGCTGCCCACATATTGAAAGTCAATGGCACAGCAAGAAATTGGCACAGGATTTCATGCAGCTATCACATTTGCCCAGAGCACAATCACGGGGGGGGGGGGAGGAAGGGGGAGAGGGGCTGGACACTATCCCGCTGAAGGATCTATTGAAGACTAATGACAAGCATCATTCCTGGAAAAGAGAGGCATGACCCCTTTCTGCTATTCCATAAAGCAGCAGAGGTGGTCACCCTTCCAGGACCAGGAGCACCTTTGTAATTTTGAACCATATCATAGTTAGAAAATGGTCATCGTGCAGGAAGGTTTGCCTGTTCATACAGTGGCTGTCAAAAGAGGAGATGGCCAATCATCAAACACCCATTTAACAATACTCAAACTGGGGAAATAGCTTTCCACTACCACTTTCTCAAGCCTCCTGAATATTCTCCCTCTCCTCAGCTTATCCAAAGGATAAGCTTTTGTTTTTTCAGATTATGAGGCATTCTTGCATATGGCTTCCCATGATGGGGGTTGTATATTAAAAAAAAAACAATTATCAAGTTGAGTAGAGAGTCTGGAGCAATGGCCATCACATTCCCTACGTCTGATAGTAGCACCTTAGCTGTGTTATAGCTTGAACTCCATAGAAAAACTTCATTCATTTCCTCCACAGTACTAGTCAGCCAAATACACATGCACACATGCAAACACACATCTATCAAATCATTGGCCTACCTTGGCTTCTATAGGAACAGATTGTCCATGGTTGGATTTTGGCACTATGACATATAGTGCAGGATTGATGTGCTCTACTAGTAAAGAACCAAAAGAAAATTCCTAGATAAATGATTTAATACATTGAATAGATAAATATTTGGCCTTCTTAACTGCTGTGGTTGACAATTCTATTTATCTTTGGTATAAATCTTTAATTATACAAGCTTAACTGTTTAAGACCTTGGGAAAAATATTATCAGATTCTAGTTACTAAATATGACAGAATTGCTTTAGCTTGGTCTTCCCCAACTTGACTGTGATGTTTGGGGAATTCTGCAAGACAAATCCACTTATCCACTTGTCCAAGTATCCCCTTTCATGTATCCAGTCCAGAGATTAGAATCTGAATGGTGCAAAAAAGGAGAACTGGGCAACAGGATACTTCTCTGACATTTACCATAGTTTTAATATTACCTAAAGAAGGACTGTGCCTAAACTGTGGGGCAACCCATGCAAAACTATTATCTCTGGACTGAATGACGAAAGGTTGTATTTTGGAAATAGAGGTGATTGGGTGAAAGGGCACCGTTGCCTTATCCTAATTTATTTATCTCCTCCAGCCACGTGAGATGTAACAGGCATTTTCAAACATACTAATCTTTACATGGAACTAAGGACAAAGGAGAGTGAAGTCTGCCAGTTCCAGTGAAGCATCTTCTCAAAAGGGAGAGCTGATAAATCTGCAGATGGCAGCAACTGATAGACTCAGATATGGTGTGCATACATTCTGGAAAAATCTAGGGTTTATTCAGACTAGAACGATCATTCCATACACAGGTTTGTTGCTTAGTCGAATCAAAGACTTGCCTATTGGCAATCCCTTCTTTCTATACGCACACATATTCAGTCACACATGTACACATATTGCTGACGTGTTCCTTCTGTTCAGTCTCTTTTGAGAGCACCTATGAAGATCTAGCTAGTGAACCCAACACCAAATCATTGTATCAACAAAAATGAACTCGTGGAAATGAAGTGGATTTCTTTTCCATTTCAAAAGGAAATTGCTCTTTCCAAACTGGACAAATAGGCCAGCTTAACAATATTAATAATGCATTTAAAAAAAAAACACCTCATGATGAATAGCCCTGTACATGAGCAAAAGCGCTCAGGAATGCCAGAACTGTGATTAAATAGCAGCAAGTTGCCCATATATTATCATGATGTTGGAGCTCAACTGACTAAAAACGAAACACTGTAAAGAAGCAGCAGTGGCAGCAACAAAAAGAATTAGGGGGGGGAAGCAAAGTTGGTGAATGATGGGAAAGAAGAGGCACATGTGATGTCCTAATGGCAGCGGTTATATGTAGACAAATAAATTATCACAAGAAAGGAACAAATGCTGCTTGTGGCAGTTCTTAGAGGCATGGTGGGACGGACTGAACCGGATACATCAATTGACTGAGCGCACTGAGCGGCTGCTTCGTGGAAATCGATGGACTTTGACATGCTTGGACAGGTGGTCACTTCGTGCAAACTTCTTCTCACACACAGGGCACTGATAGGGCTTCACTCCAGAATGGGAACGTCGATGTCGAGAAAGTTCATCTGATCGTGAGAACCTGGAAGCAAATAAGAAAAGATAATCGGTGTGATGACTTCACCTTTAGGTGGTCATCAATGTACAGTAGATAAAAACAGAACCAAGAATATTTAACATTAAGATCAATCTTTCAAAGAAAATACTCCTGAAAATACTTTTTCTTTTTATGGCCCTGTAATCCCTTGTATCGGGATGGAGTCAGGGTAACTGAATGGAGCTGAATAATTTACTGGCTGGATGCCCTTCCTGACCCCTATGCGGAGTTTGCAGCAGATATTTACTCTTTGCAGTCTAATAGAGAAACATCTGTTGCTGCCTACGATTGAACTCTCAGCCTCCTGAGTGTGAGGCGAGCGTCTTCACCTCTAGACCATGACCCCACTCTGATGAAGAAAACTTCGATAATCCTGCCAAATAGATTAGTATTTTTATCCATCAGGACATTTTTGGAAAATACTCAGGGAGACAATTGCCCCAAGATCCATATATGGAAAGAAAGTCATCCAAACAATGGTTCAATATCTGAAACACTTTCATTTCAAAGTGAGTTATTTCAGAATCTTGGATAATCTCCACCCTCCTATTTACTGGCCATGGCTTTCAATATACATACATATACTATGTATATACATACACAAACACACAAACACCAAAACAAAGAGACAGAATGACAATGATACTATGAAACATAACTGAGCAGAGACAAGTCTCAAACGGATATTATGCAACTCACATCATAATAAACCCCTGTTATTCATACACTGTAGACTATAAAGCAGTGATTGTCCACAAGCTTTTTAGTATCCATTTGCTCCCACCTCCCCAAACATTAGCAGGCCAATCTGTTTTATGGCAATATGGTTAAGGTTTCCCTGTCAGTTATATCTGACTCTAGGCAGGATGCTCATTTCCGTTTCTTGGCCAAGGGAGCCAGCATTGTCTGAAGACATTCTGCATGATCATGTGATTAGCACGTCTATATGCCAAAGGCACATGCAACGCTGTTACCTTCCCACCAAAGTGGTACCTATTAATCTACTCACATTTACATGCTTTCAGACTGCTACCGGTAGGTGGGCAGGAGCTGGGACAAGTAATGCGAGCTCACCTCATGGGGTGGTGCTTGGGTCTCAAACTTAGGCTGTCAACTTTCAAGCTGAAGAGAAATTCTTTTGAAATCCACATTTTTGCTAAGAAAAATTCTAAGGACTTTTTTTTTTCTTCCATCCCCTCCAAAAAGATGGTTTGAATTTTCCATTTCCTATCCCAATTTTCCTATTCCTATTTTCAAGAGGCAACTGGACTTTCTTTTTTCTCTTTGAAGACGTTTCGCTTCTCATCCAAGAAGCGAAATGTCTTCAAAGAGAAACAAGAAAGTCCAGTTGCCTCTTGAAAAAGCACCTTTGGGACAACCATGACCTGGATGACTGAGAATCTCCATAGACATTTTCAATTTCCTAGAATAAAATAATTGCTGCTGTCACCTGCAACAAATCTAAGGTAAAGAAGGGGAAATTTCCCCTGCTCCAAGAATGGGGTTTTCCCCACAGAAATTGCATAAATGTTTACAAAGTATCATTTGCATACAGAGTTAAAATGAAAACTCATTTGGAAAAATCTACGAACTCATGGAACACATTTGGATTTAGACACCCTTTGAATAGTAGAATCTCATAGTTGGTGTCAGCCAGAACAGTGATGAACACTGGCACAGATTAGAATCTTTAAGATTAAGATTCTTCTGTCAGCTGTTCCTATAGGAAATAAGTAAAATTAGAGGTATTTCTGAGCCAAAAAATTTATTGATCCCAATAGTTTCCCCCTTCTGTCACGTTAAAAGTGGGAAATTTTGGAAGAGTTTGGGGAACCATGTCCAAAGTACTGAGAGGCCACATGTAAGGACCCTGAGGTCTCAAGTGGTGCGACTTTGTTTTAAGAGGATAATGTTAGTTTTTCTTCAAGAAAAAGATTGAACCTCCCTTCGCAACCTAGAAGAGAACTTGACTTTCCAAACTGAAACACTACCAATAATTATGTGACATTTTTGTTTATTTCTTTTTGTATTTTATCTCTATTCTTTAGGGAATTAAAAAAAATACCCCAGCTAAATAGAGTTCTTGTCTATAATTTCTCTGATATTTATTAAGAATGTTTGAACAAAATATTTCTTAATGCTTGTAGTTTGAGTTTAGGAGCAAAAGCTCTTGGAGGAGGGAGGGAGAACATTCAGGGTATGTCTACCTGGCCCATGGAAAGAAACATGAGTTAATATGATAAAAATATATTTTGTATCATAGCTAAGCCTTCAGTTGATCAGGTAACAACATTGCTATGCTGGCATTCAGTTTGCTTGAAAAGATCAGTTTACTATAACTACAGAAATAAATTTGCAGCTCCTTATGTACTTGTAATGCGTACCCATCCAAACATTAAATATAAGATAAAGGTAAAAAGCCTTCAGATTATTATATAATGCTCTCTGAAGATGGAAATGGACAATATGTTTTATAAACTGATTTCTTCCCATTTTGGTTTGATTGGGTATTAATATGCAATCATTATATTTCATTTATGGAATCTTAATAGGGACTCCAAATATTATCATCTTCCATTTTTAACCCTCTCAGGTTTCCTGGATGCTTCTTTTGTCCTTTTCTTTGTAGGAAATGTATACGTTGAGGATAAAAAAGCAGCTTTGTTGCACAAGATTTGAACAGTAGCAGCAGGAACATCCCAAACAAAGGATTTTACTGCTATTAAATATGCTAATTAAGATTATTTTGAAAGTTGCCTTGATTCTCTTCTCAGAAGATGCTGGAATCATTTTCTAGGAATAGGGAAGAAATAAGTAATCAATTTCATATCTGTGAATCAATCTAAAAAGGGTTTTGTACATCTTTTGGGTCAATTTAATGAAGAGAAAGACGAGGGGTGACATGATAGCACTGTTCCAATATCTCAGGGGCTGCCACAAAGAAGAGGGAGTCAAGCTATTCTCCAAAGCGCCTGAAGGCAGGACAAGAAGCAACGGATGGAAACTAAGCAAGGAGAGAAGCAACCTAGAACTAAGGAGAAATTTCCTGACAGTTAGAACAATTGATCAGTGAAACAACCTGCCTCCAGAAATTGCCTCCAACACTAGAAGTTTTTAAGAAGAGACTGGACAACCATTTGTCTGAAATGGTACAGGTGTCCTGCCTGAGCAGGGGCTGGACTAGAAAGGTCCCTTCTAACTCTGTTATTCTGTTAATTCCAAGGCATTTGACTGATCTGGAGATTCAATTATTTCTCCTAATGATATTCAGTTAGCAGAGCTGCATTAGAGAAAAGAATCTGAAGTCTAAACTAGATATAAACCCTATTACTCCAGAAAGAGTCTTTAGCATGGGTCTTCAAACTTGGCCCTTTTATGACTTGTGGACTTCAACTCCCAGAATTCCTCAGCCAAGTATGCTGGCTGAGGAATTCTGGAAGTTGAAGTCCACAAGTCATAAAAGGGTCAGATTTGAAGACCCCTGGTCTTTAGAATTAATCATTATTTTAGTTGCTACTGGCAGATTTAACTACCAGAAAGTCCACTGAAGTCACCAGTTCTCCAAGAAACACAATTTAAGAATAACTGAAGGAGCACAATGATTAACATTCCTTACAGATATCTTCATAGGGCAGTAGTAACAAATAATTGAAGAACAAGATTCCATGCTGAATCTGCGCAAACACATCTCTCCCAGAATAATTTTTGAAGGAGTTCTAAATTTTTAGGATTTTTAATTCAACTTTCCTATGAAATTGAACAGGAATCTCATAGACATATCTAATCTTTTGAAGGAATCACTGATATGTTTGAAGTTCTAAGGACTGTTGCATCTATAAATTTGCAAGCATTGACTCCTCAAATATCAAGCAAGTGAAATTAGTGAAGACTAATTTCGTAGGTGAAATATGATCCATGGAACTGAGTTTAGGTATGTGAATGCAACAGATTCTCTTTTTTTTAATTTTTATTTTTCCTTTTTCTCTTTACAAACAAACAAAATACACAGTACATTTTTTCTTTTTTCTTAACAATACTATGTTCTACATCTCTTACATTTATTTACATTTATTTACATTACTTCTCATACTTTTTTATTCCTCATTTCTAACCAGTTATAGTACATGTCCCATATCTCATAGAATTCTGTAGCTTCTTTGTCTTTTAGTTCTAAGGTAAGTTTGTTCATCTCAGCACAATCTAATATCTTACATATAATCATTGCATTTGTTGGTATGTTCTCTCTTTTCCAACATTGCGCATATGCAATGCGTGCTGCAGTTATAATATGTATAATGATGTATTGGAGTCGTTTCTTGATTTTTGAGTTGATTATGCCTAATAAAAATTCTAAGCAGAATTTTTGAAAACAGAATTAATATATTATTAATATATTGTTAATTCTATCACTTTCAGTACTTCTACCAATCTTCTACCCATTTACTTATCTCTTGCATTTTATATTTGCCTAATGCTTTTTTTGTGGCAATAACATACAGTTCAGCTAGGTCCTTTAAAAAAAGTTATATGGGGAAAGAAATCAAAGGAAATTGTTTCTATGGAAAAGAGTTTTTTCTCATGTAACAGCTTTTAAAGACTCTCATAATGGTACAATGAATATAAAAAAATATCAATGCAATTATAAATTAATCAGGGCTAGCAAAGGAGTTAGCTTACACAACTGCTTTGCCCAGGAGAATAATTGTAACTATGACATACAATGCTTTACTATCTTGTAAAATTTCCCAATCTAGGACCCTGGCTGGGCTGGAGTGTATATCAGAATGGAGGAAACTGTTTTACATTTTGTCAGAGCAATTTTATCTATTCAGTCCAGGGTTGTCTCTTCCAGTCCCCAGTCCTCTAATCCGGAGGTCCCCAACTCCTGGTCCGTGGACCGGGATCAGGCAGTAGCATGCCAGAAACTGGGCCACGCAAACAAGCGAAGCCCCATCCATGGGATGCAGGCAGCACACAAAACCATG